TAAAAAAGAATCAAGTAATAGAAATCGATCTTATATTTCTTTCAATTGGAAACAGTTTTTAGATTAATGATTTGATCGAAACGAACCCAATTGCTTCCATAATCGTCATGCATAAATATTGATATTAATGTTTTTGGTGAAGAAATTTTTGTGAAGATTCAATTGAACATGTTTCTATTAGCCAATAGCCTTTCGTTCACTTATAATAAAATTAATGATTTCTATTATTTGACTATGATCATAAGGTTATTTCAAGAGCTACCAAGTTTGGCTAAGATAATTGTATATGAATTTCATAACAATTGTATCTACCTAGTTTCATGTATACTTGTGGAACTGAAACTGGCATATTGGACGAAATGATAATAAAAGTTTATCGAACAATGGAAATATTCACTTTTCCTAATTAATGTTTTGCATCTGAGCGACATTCACATCCATTACACTTGAAAATGTCACTACTAATTTATAAAATATGATTGTTTTCTATTAGCACTGTTCGTTTCACATATGAAAAGCCGCTGACAAATCAAATCATTAACGGTTTCAACATAATTAATATTATGTACGAACAAAAAAGTTTTTCTTTGACAATTTTGCAAATCTTGATTCGTTCTTGTTTAACATTCTATCGCTGATTGTATGATAGCCGATAACGTGATAAAATCTAATGTTCCAATTTGTTTGCCACATAAAGTGATAACCGCAGTTTCTTTTTTGGAAAATTATAAATTAACTATTGTATTTCTTCCAATCAATTGAAAAATCTCAAAGATTTTGTAATATGCAGCTACGGTGAAATTATAACAAAAAATCGATCGAAAAGATACAGAAAAAATGACAAGCATTAATGAAAAATAGAGTTGAAATATGAAAAGTAGACAAAAACAAAAGGAATACATGAAAAGCGGTAATTGTAAAAATAAAACAGAACACATTCACAAAAGAAAAAGAATTAGCGATATAATAAGATTCAGGCGCCGAAATTAGAAAGTTCAAAGGATCTTCTCTCTATTTAACTTTATAGGTAAACCTAGGAGAGGAAGAAAGGTATAGGTGCTCCCAAGGCTGAAAGGATAAGATCTAGAAACGGAAGTTCACCTGTGTTTGTTTGTAACACATGGTACAAGTGATCACAAGGATGATACAAAGCTGACAGCCATGGTACAGGTGACTAGGACGGTGATACGAAGAACCATGTATTGCAGAAAGACAGATGAACAAAGATGAGTTTCCGTTTCTACGCTAACATCTCAGTTTAAGTCAAGCGAGTCGGATCTTGATGAGCGTTACTTATTTTTAATTGAGTATTTGATGCAATTTCGGGTTATTCGTCTTTCGATTGCTTCGAACTTTTGCCTGATCGTATGATTAATAAATTATTCATCTCTTGAAGATAATGATCTTCAATCCATTTTTGTGCCCTTAATGCTCTAGAAAACTGGCGAGGATTATCCTGTATTATTGTAGCTCTATCATTACGAAGTTCTCCGATAGTTTTGCTTATCCTTTTTCCTTCTAATATTTGTTGAATAACTGTATAACCTGAGTCATTATTTATATTTGGAGTATCTGTGACTTTCCTATTATTTAACATTAGTTCAAAATATCCTACGTTAACATTTCCCTGACTATCTCGTTCCCCTTTTTTGTATAGTACTATGTTGGTACATCTTGCTTTGTCTTCGTGTGTTAGTCCATAAGTAGGACTATCCACTAGTTTTAGTTCTAAGCCATGCTTTTTGGCTAATGTAAGTATGTCTGACATGTTTGCTGGCATATTCGTTCTGACACCTAGAGCATAATTACTTATTTTCTCATCGATTTTTCGACTATTTATTTCATCTGTTTGTTGAGCATAATGAATCATTTCACATTGACTATATGAGATAGTATCATCTTTAGCGTGTTGTGCAATTTGTTCTGTAATTGTATTATATATTCTACTGTTTTCTTGATTTTGACTAGATGAATTTTGTTTTTCGTCTACAACAACAACGTAACGTTCGACTGTTTCAGAAAAAATATTTGTTAATTTTTCTGTAGCATAACTACTCAAAGGCAAGGTGAGTTGTGATTCTGTAATTCTAAATATTTGCTCAGTAATCATATCTGATATTAACTTCATTATTTCATTCAAATTATCTACATTTGAAATATTCGAATGTAGGCATTTCAAAACATTTTCAATTTTCTCTTTACATTCATTGAATTCATTCAAATGAATACAAATAATTTCTTCGGAAAAATTTTGTCCGTTGAACTTTTCATTTTGATCTAATATGTTTTGCTCTTGTAGAATATTTATGATATGTGTAACATCATTTCTACTGACTTCACAATAACGTTGCAAAATATGACGCATGGTTAATGTTTCTTGATCAATATTCGACAGTTTTTTTAAAAGTTGATTATGAACCTTCTCGACAATAAAAATAATTTCATGCAATCCTCTTAGTCCACCAGGTATTACGTTACCGATATTTGCAAAGCTACGTGTTACTGACATCCTAGATAAAATACCTTTGCATAAAATACCACCTATTGAGTCAAATTGCTTACTCCAGAAATTATCTTCAGGATTGATTATTTCACGTATTATTTTATCAATTTTTTCTTTAAAATATGTGCTTCTAGTAAATGAATCAAATGTATACATTTTATTCACTATCATTTTTAAATCAGATTCACAAAATTTCGTATAAACTTCACTTTGTATGGATTCTGAAACTTTCGGCTTCCATCGATTCAATAAAAAATTTGAGCTGACATCTATTGATTTACTTAAACTTTCTCTTATAATATTTTTTTGAATTGTTACTCCAATATGTTTAGCAGCTAGACTTTGTAGATTTTTCCCTGCTACATTTAATGTTTGGTATACGGACCTACCATTTGTTATCACTCTCGTACCAGCTTGTTCAATTACTTCTTCTCCGACGCTTACAACTAAATTCTGAGCTCCTTTAGCTGCATCTTTGAGTGGTGAGAGTCCCATTGAAGCTGCTGAAATAATTAGACTTACTGCCTTTTGTTTCGCGAAATCTGACCAAGAAAATTGTCTTGTGCTATATACTCTGTAAGCAATAAATAAATCTGCTCCTCCTTCAGTGACAAGACTCATTCCTAAAGTGGCCCCAAATCCACTAGCTATTTATAGTCCTCCTATTGCCATTTGAATACTAGCTAGAGCACATATGCTAGCAATACTTGTCCATGGAATAAATTTTTTTTCATTAATTTCAATTAAATATTCGATACCACGTCCAGAAAATTCAGCTAACTCTAAATTAGGCCGTAGTTGACTCATGAACAATTCACTTAAAGTTTTAAATCTATGAACTTCCACGTTCTCTTGTTCTATTGGAGCTAATTCTATTATTTGTTTTGCTTCATGACTTGTCAGTTGTGTAAATATTAAACTAAATTCCAATTTATGTTTTCTTATCTGTTCAATAATTGTTTTGGCTGCTTTTTTTTGTAACATATCAAACTTTACATTTATAAGTTCATCTTTTAATCCAATCAAAAGACATTTATTCTGTATATTAATAGGAGTCATATTAAAATTCGCATTAGGACAAATATCAAGTATATTGTCTACAATGCTTTTATTTACATCAATTAATTTCATAGTCGTAGATTTATCTGTAATTTCTGAAATTTTTTGCTCGGCTCTAATCTTATTTACTACTTCCGTAATACCATGTTCTTTTACGCGACTATACAACTGTATCCGTTCCGTTGTTAAAGAATCAATAACTTTTAGTAATGTTTCTTTATTGTCGATGAGTTCAAGAGTAATGGATCTAGATACTATCGTTCTTAACTTTTCTTCAACATTTTCTGCTGTTAATCCAATGAATTCGATCGTTATATTTGAACGATATAATGCTTTTTCTAAGATTTTTGCTGTTTGATTAGCTGATACGAAATTCAAATTGAAACGTTCATTTTGATCTATTCGTTCTGCGATTAGTTTCATTGCTATTTTGACGCTCAAATCAGTCATTTTCTCTGGTATATTATTATTCTCGGAAGTAATTTCTAAATTAATTCGGCATGAATCGAGGGACCAAGTTTCTGGTAATAAATATCGATCGAAAAAACAAGTATTTTCTTTCAATTGTGTCAGAGCTTCCTCTTTTGTCAACTCTTTAACTTCAATGTTTGGATTTAGAAAATCTCTTAACTTCTCTGCATTAATCTGTTGTATAGTTATGTTTATATGTTCATAATCATAGTCCAAAATTCCACTTTTTTTAGGAAAACATTTAACTTTTTTGAGAGGTGAAAGTTCAATAGATTTATCAAACAAACTATTTTCATTTTGAGATAGCATCTTATCGATAATCTCTATTGCTTGATCTTTAGTTCCACTATCTTGTCTAACAGTTAAATCATTAAACGTTACCTCGTATTGATTATGATCTGTTGATTGTTGAAGAAATGCTGGAAATTCTTCTCGAATATGACCATTTTTTGATTTAAGTTTTTCATAAATTAAAATATGAATTTTTATATGAATATCTCGATCGAGAATCGTTTCATCATACGATAAAGATAAAAGTGCATTACTCAAAGTAGAATCATTCACTATCCATTCTCTTAATCGATCTTTATTTTTTTGTATATAAAAAACTGTAACTATATTATTTTTTTCCTTCGTAACAATAATTTTTTTACTATTGGGAATTAATGTCTTGTAATGATCTAGACGGTTATAAGATATTAAACGAATGTCGCACCATTTTCCACATTCTTTTAAAGATTTCGTATTGTAAATTTGCTAAAATTTTGTTCGAAAAACTCTTACTGTTATATTTATCTTCTATTAATTTTGAGTAATTTACCAATTCTGTTATTTGAATTAATCTTTGCGATTTCTTAATAATCTTTACAGTATTTTCTAAACTATTACAATAAGAACCAAGAATATTATATTTTTGAATTAATTGTTTACTAAGATCAGTATTCGTATTCTGACAACGATGTTGTAAAAATGATTGTATAACTGTTAGTGCCGACATTTCTTCACTAAGAATTTCAAGTGCTTTATTAAATAGTCGAATAGCCATTTCTTTATAATCTATAGATTGTTTATTTGAACGAAAGAAATTTTCTTTACCTTTTAATAATAACCAACCTTTTCCGGCAAATGCAGCTGCACTATGTTTTGAATCAAGTTCTATAGCTCGATCGAAATGTTTCATCGCATTATCATAGTTTCTGTAGAGTGAAGAATCATTAATAACTAAGTCATCAGCAATGGCAATATGACAATAAGGATTCTTAATAATACAATAATTTTCGTAATTTTCTCGAATTTTTTTACTAAATTTTTCAAATTGTTCGTGAAATATCTTGCTATCAGTTGGAGCTTTTTGATTATCGATTTGATATAAAAACATTGCCCATTGTTCTTCAATGCTGAGAAGTATATTAGACTCAAGAACGGACGGTGAAATATTTGTAAATATCCTTTTAGCTTGATTTTTTATTTTTACATATAAACTATTTTTTTCTCTAATTTTTTCTCTTATTTCATTTAACAACAAACAAAACTTGGTAAAACGTTCATCTTTCAAAGTAATTATTTGTAGTTCACGCTTTTGAAAATCATCTAACATGTTTATCTTAATACTATCTCGTAGTGCTGTGATTTTCTGTATGTTGAAGTTTTTATAATGAGCTAAACTAGCAGCATTTATTATTCTTTGACCTGTACCATGTTTACCTTGTCGTGTAGTTCTACCAAATGCTTGTTCTTCAACACGTTTATTAGATGGCATAAATGTAACAATAACATGAAGACCACCATATTTTTCAATATGATCCGTTTTTATATCATTACCTCGAGCTGCTAAATTCGTAGCTACAATAATTTCTCTCGGATATATTTTTTCGATATGTTTCTCTTGATTCATATTATTCGTCGTATATAATTTTATCGTACTTGAACGGTAATCTCGTCGGAGTTTTTCTGCTATCTGTGCACTATATTCGATTGTTTCACATATAACAAATATTCCTCATTCTTTTCTCGATTCATTGATTGCCGAACGACATATTTCATTAAGCCAATCAACTTCATTAGTCAATACAAGATCAGGCAATGAAAGATACTGCTTTTGACGCAAACTGGGAATAATACCTAGATGTACATTATATATATCAACTAAGACTTGCTTAGCTTTTTCAGAACCAAGTGTTCCTGTAAGACCAAATAAATTCGAACCATATTTTATAAAGAATCCTTTATTTGATAGAAAATTCGTAGTAAAAGTTTCAGACGTCATTTTTAGATTATGTTTCAGTTGCAAAAATTGATGGAGACCATCACTCCAATGTGAAAAATTTTGAACAATACTTGTACTAGCATAATCTACCGGTTTAATTAAGCCTTGATGTACGATGTAGTGTACATTTTCCTGATAAGTTAATGCAGTCAGAGCATTATCTATCTATTTCCACATTTGCGTATCAACAAATTCTTCAAAGCCTTTTGGTATGATGGTTAATCTATCAATTAAATTTCTAATGTTATTTCTTAAATCATCTTTGATAAATGCTTCAACTTCAACATTTTCTGAAATCGATATTCCAATATGACTAATGTCCGAAGTAGATTCTACGTAGGTTTTCAAATCAGGAATTTTGATAATATTTCCTTGTTGTTCATCAATATATTCTAAAATGATTTTCTCTTGTTCAGAACTAATTTTCCCATGAAATAAATAGATTTTATTATTAATTTCAAGTATTCTTTCTTGTAAATAAACAAGTCGATACCATAAAGTGTGGTATATTATTTGTAATTGATCTATTCCCGGTATGGTAGTCGCAAGTCTTGTAATTTTCGAACTATCATCAATCAGCATACTGTCTACTTCATCTACTATAGCAACTTCAAACTTTCTATTTCCTAAAGTATTAAGTTGACTATATTCTGTTCTTAGAGTATCAAACTGAAATTGTGCTACTTCACCATAAACTATCTCACTGTTATAACAAGATTTTGGACCTGTCCAATAAATTGATTTATCATTATTATCACTACATTGTAAATTAAACATATTGTAGAAATTTTTCTTTTCTTTTGCGTCTCTTTCTGCGAGTACAGGTGAACTAGTAATAACATCAACATTTTTTCCTTTTAATACATGTATTACCGCTAATACAGCTATAATTGTTGATTTACCTTCACCAGTTCTTATTTGCAACAACATTCCTTTATCGGTATTTGCTTTTAAAAGAATTATACAACTTAAAAGTTGAGCATCAGTCAAATGAAAACCACTGTCTAAGAGATAAGCTTGTTTTATTACTGCTAAAGTTTCTACAATAAAATCGTCTGTATTTTTACACGAATGACCATTATCTTTTATTGTTTTTGCCCATCCTTGAATTTCATGTTTAGTCCATTCATTAATATAGACTTGTCTTCTCTTTTTCAATTTTTCATCATATTTATATTGCATAGTTTGACTGAGAATTTTAGAAGTTAAATTAGTACTTTTAATTTTATTTATTAAATCCACTAAATTTTTTCTAACTAATTCTATTAAGTCTTTATTTTGAGAATTATTTGTTTCAAATTCTTGTATTAATTCTGTTACATTTCTTAGTTGACCTATTTCAGGAAAATTAGCTTCAATTGCAATGATATTTATCAATCGATGCCAATTCTGTGCTGGTTCTTTGAGAACTACTAATATCTTTTCTTGATTTTCTGCTGTTGGAAATATGTTATATTGTGATAGTATTTCTAGGACACAAAGAAAATTTATTTCTTTGATTCGTTTCTCTTCATTTTTCGAAGCATCAAGATTTTTGAAAATAATATTCAATTGTTCAAAAGTCCATTTACTATTTAATAAATTACTAAGAATAAAAGCTAATTTTGAATGATCAACATATATAATTTGATTATCCAAAAATTTTATTTCTAATAATCTTTTCAACATTGAAATGCTTGTATATTGAGTATGTATATCGAATATCTTCATTTTATTTTCTTCGGCAAAATCTAAAAATTCTTCAAAATCTTTTAAACTATCTATAGTCTGTACTGTGTCCAAAAGTTTTTTACTTATATCAAAATTAAATTTTGTAATCATTTTACGTACTAAATCATCGATATATTTGTTATTTATTTCTTTATTTAATAAACGTTGAAAAACTAAGTCTCTGAGAATTTTTTTGAGAACATCCTCATACGGACTTAGACTAATCGATAAGATATTATAAATACTTTCAAAGTCAATGTTCGTTAGAACTTTTATTAGCTCATTACATTGATTAAACGAAATTCTATTATTTAACTGAATTCGATGTAATAATTTAAGTAATATACCACTTTGACCTTGTGGAAATCCAGTATATTCTTCAATTTCGAGCCACGCTTCATAAAAATCAAATCGTTCTATTTGACTTAACGTAAATCTTTCTAATAAATCAAAAATGAACAATTCTCTATTCCATTGATTTTGTGGTTTATTACAAATTGTGGTAAAATCAATGTATTTTATTGTGCTAACAGTTTCAAATAAATCTAAATCTATAGCTACCTTAACCCTTGTGTGAGATTCCAGATTGATTATGATGTTATTGCACAATTCTTCAAATATTTTAGACTTATCGTTTCTGACATATGCTGCTCTTAGGCCTCTAAAGGACCAACTTCTTATTATGTCATTATTGGTGGAAAGATATTTTTCTAAAGTCTCATTCTTTGATATACCCATAACTTCAGATATCAGAGCAATATATGCCAATAATTCAACTTCTAAATTTAGAAATGTATTACCATATTCTAATAAACCTGCTAAACTATCTAAGACTTTAGATAAATTATTTGTTTGACATTGTTTCATTTTAATAACTTCTTGATATGCCATTAGAATATTTTGGTTTATTTTTTTTGATAAAATTTCCTTTTCTAACCTATCTACTATCGATGATTGCGAAGAATAACACGGATTTCTTCTTAATATCAACACAAATATATCAATCAACTCTCGTTCTAATTTCATGCAGAAATCATTTTCATTTTTATTCTTAGGAATTTGAATAGAAAGCAATTTTGAGATTGATAGATCAGATAATATATAGTGCTGATTAAATTCATGTCGAATATTTTGTAGAAATTGACTAAGATTTTTTAGTTCAATATTATCTATACTATCAACTTGCGAAAACAAATTTAAATGACGTTGAAATTTTTCTGGAATCTGCTGATTTTCAGCAATCAATTTCAATATATCATTGTGAATAGCAATACGAGATATTAGTTCATTTGGAAGTATTTTTCCTGTTTAAATTGTTTCAATTATCAACTGTCTACATAATACTCTCGTTTCTTTCGAGCTCATACTAAGCATTAAAATAGTAATACTGTATAACAATGTATCTGTCATATTTTCTTTATTCGAACATTGCAGTAAAGTTGTCAATGCTTTTTCATTTAATTCTGGATAATTATTAATGATATTATCTATTTGATTGAAATTTTGTTGAAATAATTTCGGTTTAGAAGACTTAGCCAACTCTTCGAGCAATTCATCATTCAAATTATACTTTAAATTAACCAATTTCATTCTGCATTGTTGACTATAATCTAATGTCGATGTATTTAATAGTATATTAATATCATTTTTCATATTTTCATCACAAATAGTATTTCCTGTTAGATCTAATAAGATATCTATACTTTTCTGATTAAGTTCAACTTTAGGAAATATTATAAGTATTTTTAATCCATTAAGACTTTTACGAATAACATTTTGATTGTTTCCTTTTAATAAATGGATTAAAACTGATTGAATACGTGAAACTAACCTAATAATAGCATCAGAAAATGGATTAAAAAATTGACGAAGGGAATCTATAAAGTTTTCTTTAAAATAATCTTTGTTTTGAATCAATGAACAAATAACAGATAAATATTGTTGAATAATCAATGAATTTTGTAAAATTAAAATTTTATCTAAGATTTTAATGGTTATATTTTTTGATAAATATTCACCTTTTAGTGCCAGAAGTACAAAAATTGACAATACTTGATCTGAAATCAGTGAATTCTCTAATGCTTTCTCTAATTTTAATGTAAGTTTAGCTGAAATATTTTGATTATTTTTAACTGAATTTTCAAATATATCAATCAAATGGCAGTTTGCTTGCCGAGGATCGAATCTTTCTACCAGCTTATTAATTAAATTATCAGGTAGAGGTTGTGCATTTTTAGAAATATTCAAAAAAAGTCCGAAAACCTTTTCATCCAATTCAGATGGACTTTTCATTATTTTGTCTAACATTATAAATCCATTAAGTGTTAATCTTTGATTTTGTTCTGTCATTTTTTATACGTAAGAAATAGCATCATTACTGTCTGATGGAAAAGAATAAATGGTGATAATGGCTCTTTCTAATTCTAATATATAAAAAATTTCATCGGACATATCTTGATTATCATTAGCTATATCCAATAGTTCAAATAATTCGTCTCCTAATTGACTATCGTGTGATGAGGAAAGATTATCAGCAAGAAAAAGCAGAAATTTTTCACTAACAATTTGTCGATTTCTAATTACGTTACTCAATACTCTTAAAGCTTGATAAGAAATTTCCGGCATACTAATTGCATTGCCTAATGCAAAAATTGTATCTTGTGGAATAGAATATTTATTAGCTGAATAATTATAAAGTATTTCGATTGCTAGAGCTTGATTACAGCTTTCAAACAATAAAATATGATTAAATATTATGAATATATGATCGTCAAATATATTGTATTTAGATTCGTTACGCAAAATATATAAAATATTCTTATTGACTACATCAGCAAAACTTTCTTCATCTAACTGTAAATCTTCAAATACATAAATTCTTGGTAAAAATTCAATATGACTTTTCATAATAGGTTTTTCGGTTGATGACAATTTCGCTAGAACTTGAGTATATGCAACAGATGAATAGACGGCAACATCATGTATTTTATTCTCTGTATGTTCTTTTAGTTCAATTAAAACATCATATCCAAATTCATGAGTTTTTGAAGCTAAATACAATGATTTCGCTGATAAAATACATGTTTGCTTATCCTTACTGTTTAGTGCTTTAGCAAGATATTCAAGAGTTTGATCTTTAATCATTACATTTTTCTTTAAAGTATTGACAAGGATTCTGGCTATTAAGGATGAAATCCATTGACAATCTGTATTATCATTTGAAATTTTCTGGCATGTGATATCAGCTCCTTTGCCAACTATTACCCAATCATCTAACAATTTAGTTGACAACTTATCCACATTTGGTATAATCTGTCTTTGAGAAACAATCTCTTAAGCTATAATTGCGAGATTATCAAATTTGTTATCATCATTGTTGATATTTTCGATTAGGGCTTGAATAACAAAATCCGGTAAATTTTGGTTTTTGACGACAGTCAATACTATAGATCGTAATACTTCGATTTTAAATTCAGATTTGTAATGAGAGTCATTTAAAATATGAACATAGATTTGTAATTGAGTCTCATTTAAACCTTCACTATAACTATGTTCAAGGTAATTATTAATTATCGTACAAATGTTTATTTTGGTCTGTTCACTTATATTAATGTTCTTTAATAAATTAATTATTCTGCAAATAACATTTCCACTAAATAATTCTTGACATCTTTTCTCATCTTTACTCTGTTGATAGATATACGGTATCGAATCTTCTACAATAATATTTTTCTCGATTTGTTCTAAACAACTTGTAAAAAGTTTCTTATAATCAATATCATTACTATCTACTAGAGATCCTAATATTTTCACTATAAATGTTTTAAATTCAATATCAGTTTCATTTTGATAACATTGAATTTGTTTCAATCGTTTATTGTTCAATATAGTCTTATTTCTGGAAGAACAAATATAAATGGTTGAAATTGCTTGTAACCTTATTTTTCGTATTTCAGATGTAATCGCTTCTGAAATTTGTTCATGATTTGTAATCGATTCATCGTAGATTTTGCGTTTGAAATTTATAACAATATCAGGTTCATTTCTATGAATCAATTTTGGTTGTATTTGAGTACTTTCAGATTCTTCGCATTTTCTGTTCCTATTCATCATCATAATATCTACTGAGATTTTTTCTTTTTCCGTAGCTTCACCTAAAATTTTTTCTTCCAAACGATCGAGAATATCTACACAATTCATTAGTAGATCAATAATATTATCATGTAATATCTGTTTTTTTGAAATTTCATAAAATATGTCAGCGATCATTCGATCTGTAAGTAGTACTTCAATGGAATCAGCATAAAACCACTTATTTTCCGGTCCTATGAATTTTGATGGTAAATATTCATCTTTATCTTTTCTTTTTAGTGCTTGACCACTTTTAACTCTTTTATAGAGATGTACAACTTCTTTATAGGTAGTTCGAAAAGCAGATGTATCGCTTCCATCTTCATCAGATATGATTGGAAAATTTTCTCGATTAGATTTAACTTTTATTTGCTTATTTAAATTCTTAAAAATCTGAATCGAATTCGATCTATTAGCTGATTCTTCGGATTGATTATTTCTGTATTTAAGTTTAACTGTTTGCTGATTTTTTGTAATTGCTATCTGGGGTGTTTTCTTATTATAATTAATTGATGTTAGGTTTTTTTTATGAGTTACTTGTCGATAGTTTCTATGATTTAAATAATTTT